TCCCAAACATCGAAGCGTAAGTTTCTAATAAAACATCTAATAAAACATTTCAAACATCGAAGCGTAAGATTCTAATAAAAATACTGCACATGTGTTTAAAACACAAAATAAGGTAACAACTTTAACCGCTTTTTTAGTAACGTTACCCATTTTTAAAATTAAGATATGCATACATGAATCTGACCCGGGGAGACTCTATTTAACCAGATGTCAAATCCATTGTATTGATCTTGCATATTGGAGGCTCCATTGGTTGCATTGCCAATACATTTACTTATATAAATGCGTACCTTTTCAAAAACGCCACAAACCAAATCACACATTCCTTTTCCAGTTGTTGATGTGTAATTGACTATCGATATTACACGTTTATGTACAGCTTCTTAAACATACCGGATCACAATAGAACATAACTTTTGACAAAATTATGACCAAGTTGCCACGATTTTTTCTGTTGCCAACTGAACCATGCTAGAATTAACTTTTTCTAACCATCTCTTCGATATGTACTTCCAACAACGGATCAAATTTGCCAACAAGCAAAAGAATATCCAAAAAACTCTCATGATTTACAGTATCATCAAGCAATTTGAACCCAGACTCTTCTGCACCTCTGTAGCTAAATCCACTCTTATCAAAAACTTTTAAATTTTCAATGATTTTTCTAAAATTAAACGATTCTCTTTAACCTCTTCATCATGTCGGCGCGTATAAATGCTTATAACATCTTTGGCATTAGTTTTTAAAACATATGATTCCGTTCAGGCTGCATGGAGAGCACTGCTTTTATGTTCTGATATTCTTTGAAAAATATGCTTTTAAAGTTATATCCACTAAAGAACCTTGATTGATCTGAAGCTTTATAAATGCTAGGCAAAATGAACAAAACAGTTTTTGTGTCTTTACCAGTGACAAGACCTATTGTTTCTGAAATAAAACTTGTGTTAATTAATTTTAACGTTTTAATCAAAATTGTTTTTTTTGGATGAAATTTAAAAAATGATTTCAAAAAATCTGATAGAGGTTTCACAAAATAATTATAGTTGTTTTAAGCTTCTTCACTTGGCTCGCATTGATTACTTTTCAATTTAAACCGAATGTTAGAGTTTAGATAAAAGGTTACAATTTTCTTTTTGTTACATTTTAGTCAACCGTTTATTAAAATAATCAACGAAAAATAAAATTTAATCTTAATAAAAGCATGATTTTTGTATGGCAACCGGCCCACCGGGAATCTCCCGGTAACCCGGCGGTCCAGTCCAAGCCTGCATTCCGGTGAGAGTTAGAATCTCCTTTCATTTCCACGACTACGTTATTTTAATTATGCATATCTTTAACAAAAATTTTATCAAATTTTATTACTGCATACTTACCCTCTTTACGATGCCTTTTAACTTCTTCCCACAATTTTTTGCGATGTTCCAGGGTTTCTTTCGCATAATCTTCATTGATAAAAGTTCCAATGCCTTTAACTTTTTTCACAGACGTTAAAACTTTGCATTTATCATTATAATTTAGGAGTTTAATAACTTGGTAGCTTGTTTTTCATTCTACCTATTCGATGGGGTCGCTCAACCACTATACCATTGACAATTCCAAGCTGGGTTTTAAAGATTTTTTTAACTGCTCTTGCACAGTCATCCCACGTTTCAAACGGTAGTTCAGCAACACCATTAACTCCTTAATTATTGCGGCGAGATCTATTTTCTAGATCTATATATATATATATATATATATATATATATATATATATATATATATATATATATATATTCAAAGTATTTATTTCTTCATTGATCTTTAAATTTAGTTGGGAAAGCATTTCCTTGATGTTTTCCTCTTGAAAGTTAATTCAATCTTTAATGTTGCTAGTTTCTTTTTCTAATATTTCAACTCAGGATTTATTAGTACTAAGTTCTTTTTCAAGTTTATCTAGTCTGTCTGTTATTATTTTTATGTTGGAACTTATTATTTTTGTAAAAGTTTCTTCTTATTTTTTTAAATAGTTTTTCAGTTTCTTTTAAAATATTTTGCTTCTGATCTTCAAGCTTAGATATTAGTGTCTCAATATTTTTCATTGCTAGATTCATCTTCGCACAATTAAAAACAATAGGCCGGATGAATAAAAATGAGCAATTGCTTTAACTCAGTAATTGGTTAGCTGTACGTGAATAAAAACTCCAGCAAATTTTTATTCGGGTAAAGTTAAGCAATTTACTCAATAAATGTTTAGCTTTAAGTAAGAAAAACTTGAGCAAAATTGTTTTTATCCACGTAAGCTGACCAATTACTAAGGAAAAGCAATTGCTTATTTTTATTCACCCGGCCTAATAACGACTCACCATCAAATCAAATTTCAAATCACCTTTCAAATCCGGCAACAACTTTAAAAGCAACTTTCACATATACAATTATAAAAGAAAAAAAAAAAAAAAAAAAAAAAAAAAAGAAAAAAAAACTTTAAAAAAAATAAATAAAATAAAAAGACAATGACAAACTTTCAATTTCCAAATCTTTCAAGTTTCAAACTTTAAGAAATAGGTCGCAACACTGGAACAACTTCCAAAATAACTTTTAAACAACTTACAACCCAGGGCCGGCGCTAGTAGGTGTCACGTGGGGGGTGCTATTACAACTGCCCTCCGACTGCCATAACGACATTATGTCTAAATTAACCGACTAACCTGTCGAAAAGGTCTACGCTTGCCGACTAACTAGTCAAAAAGGGTCGAATTTGCCGACTAAAATCATTGATGGGGGGTGACCCCCCCTCCCCACACACACACACACACACACACACTCATTGCGCCGGCCTTGTTTCAACTTATCATCTACAAAGCAAACAACACTTTCAAACAACAAGGAAGTTTTTGAATAAATAATAAAAAAACAGCAAAACCTTTCTTCTTTCTTTCTTTAATCAATTTTATTTTATTTTGTTTTATTATTATTTTTTTAATTTTCACTCGATTTCTTTTACAACAGTTGAACAGTCTGTTCGCTTCCAAAATATAGCGCGAAAAAAAATCTTTCAATCAAAAAAGTGAGAAAAAAAATCACTCAATCAAAAAAGAATCTCTCAATCAACAACATCTCTTTTAGATAATATAAAAATCAATGATTTATTTAATGAAACTATTCAAAAAGGCATAATTAAAAACGATATCTTAGATCATTTTCCGAAATTCTTTTCGATTAATACTAATAACAAAATTTTGCCTCATACAAACCAATATCATATTTAACGTATTATTAATGAAACAAATTTAACATCATTTAAGGAACAACTATCTTTACTACATTGGGAACATATTAATTTTCTAGTGTGCGTATGTATATCTGTGTATATGTTTGTGTGTATATGTAGGGGAGACCGGGGCAAGATGACTAGGTTAACAATTTAAGTTGTTTTTTACTTTATTTTTAAGGGTAGTAAAATTAATTTTACATGAACTGTTAGATTAACCATTTGTGACATTAAATATATTACGATTTAATTGTTTTAATGGAAGAAATGAAGGGTAATTTCATTTTTCCACAATTATATCAAATTTTTCATCTTGCCCCAATACCGGGGTAAGATGATTTTGACCTTGGGGCAAGATGACAAGAAAACATTTTTTTTCTATTATGTTACATTGTTTAACAAATGATAAGTTTTGCAGCTAATGATTGTCACAAATAAATATTACATTTTCATAATTTGAACATTCCTCATGCCACCACTCTTGGCCTTTAAAGCTGCCACCTAGTAAAAAACTGAAGATTAATGACCTTTTTCATCTTGCCCCGTTCTTTGTCTTTCCCCGGTCTCCCCTATGTATGTATGTATGTATGTATGTATGTATGTATGTATGTATGTATGTATGTATGTATGTATGTATGTATGTATGTATGTATGTATGTATGTATGTATGTATGTATGTATGTATGTATGTATGTATGTATGAATGTATTTTTTTTTTTTTTTTTGCCATTTCGTATATTTGAAATAAAGACATATAACATTTATAAAAATTGGCAGGAGCAAGAAAAAGACATTGACTGTCTCATTGCCGAGCCCTGTTTACATACTGTCCGTGTTTATAAACAAAAAATAAAATATACAAAAAACGTTAAAAAGTACATAACTTTTGTCAAATAATAAATTGACTTTTATATTAAAGATTTAAAAACAAAGAAAGTTTTGTACACTAATACATATATATTTGATACATGTTTAACTATATATATTTAGTGCTAATGGAAGCGTTTGTTCTATTTTAAAATTACCTTTTATAAAAAATATTTAAAGTCTATTCTATTAAAATCTAATTGAAGTTGAAGATTCTTTTAGAAACTGTTTTAAATTTTTCTAAAGAATAGTGTTTTTTATTAAAGTTTTCTAATAAAATTTTTCCATAAAAAAGGTCCTCGATATTGACTAGTATTATTAGTAAAACTAACCTACTTGCCTAAAAACGGCTGAATTTGTTCAAAGTTGTTACACGTGGATCAAAGGAGAACTTTTACAATATCACCAAGTGCAAAATATACATCATATGACATTAAAAATTAGTTATAGTTTAATTCCTTTCATCACAAAACGTTTATAAAAAGTTTTCTTTTCTTATTTTAATTTAGTATCTTAGTGTATTCGCTGTCATTCATTGATTATTTTTAACCTTCCCGATTTTTTAAGAACAAAACAAAAGAATTTAGGCCAAAATTTATTGTAATTGTTTCGAAAATTAATTTATTACATTTGCAAATAAAATTAATTAATTTAACTTTTGTAACTTTAATGATAAGTTTGAACATTTCATTTCAAACTTTTTGATTTCAATAATAATGCAAGGTTTTAACAAAGTTGTTTTGCTAATAAAATTATTTTAAAACGTTGCAAGTAAACATAATTTTATATACAACAAATATTATTAAAAAAAAAAGTTTATAAATTTTAAATCAACCTTTTTTTATTTATTGATTAATAGGGGGCTAAATAAGGTTAACTTGATTACCTTTTTAAAACGTTCATTACGCAAGCTGTCCTGCTCAATCCTTTTGCTTTTAAGAGAGTTCGGGACTTTCAATCTAATTTCAAATTTCAAAAAAAACAAAAACAATACAATTATTAAAGAGTATGATTTTTACATAATGTAAAAGTATTCTTATTGCATATTAACTAAAAATTTGATTGATAGTGGTGCAACAATCTCAGGGCCGACGACGTGCCTCCGGCCCAAACAACCCTCTTCCCCTTCCTTTCTCCCCGGTGTCGTCGGCTCTGAATCTAGCATGGCAAACAAGTGGTTACAACAATCTGGCATGGCAAACAGATGGTTGCAGCTACACAAATTGATTGTGAATCTGAACCCAACCACTCGACCATTTTTGAAATTTTTTTAATAACCTCGTTGACACTAATGGTGTTTTATAAAATAATAAATTACTTTAAACTTTTTTTTGATTGTCTAACGTGTTCATTTGTATCTGTTTCCTGAATTTTACCAAAGTACGGTGCTGCTTCATTTAACTAAAGTCAAAAAAAAATAAAATAAATTCTTAGGTAATTTGAAAACAAGCTGAACAATTACTAAAAGCAAAAACATTTATAATTAGATAAGAAAGACAGAAAAATTAGACATTTATAATTAGATAGACTTACATAAAAACTAAACAGAAAAAGTTGAAACTTCAAGTACTTACTATAACTGATACACAGAAAAAAATGAAAAAAATTCGAATCATTTTGGAGTAGACACTAGTTTGTAACTATTAGTAAAAGAGTTTTATACAAATATAATTTGCTATTTATACGTAATGCAGTCTCTACGCTTAATTAAATTGGAACAAATAGTTATAATCAAGTAATTAAAGTGATTGAAAACTAAATCAATGAAAACAATATGAACTGATTTTCTGAATTACATTTTTTTTTTATGAGTTGAGCTGAAATAGCAGGTATTAAAAAAATACTCAACTTGTTTTTTATTTACTTAAAAAATAAGTCTTAGGAATGAACAAAATATTTTTTTAGTAGAGCAAATGTTGTTACTTTCAATCTCTGTATTTTAATTTTAACATCATGTTGTTAAAAAGTTTTGAAAATTATAAAGTACCTTTAAAACTAATTGTCATAATTTTTTTATTTGAAAGTTGCAACTTTTAATGTCGCTCATGTCGTAATTGTAGTTGCTGTTGAAATTGTTTTGCTTTTTTATTTTCTCTAAAAAAATAATTTTTTTGGTAATATAAGATAAAACACCCGGTGCTTGTCGTGTGACCTACTCGCCACTTGATCACTTAAAAACTTGCCTATCAAAAACTATATGTTTCATAGTTTATAACTGATCAAAGCTTGACAATTGTAACTTTAAAAATGAAGGCAAAGGATATTTAAATAAAAAAAAACTAATGGAGAAAATCTTTATGGTTAATGAAAAAAATTCAAAAAAGCTTTTAGATAATCACTTACAAATCATTTTAGATATAATCTAATTGTATTTTTTTTTTTTTTTTTTTTTGATGCTATTTTGTTTATATTGGATTTGGGAGTATTTTGCGAGTATTATGCGAATATTTTGTTCATATTGGATGCGAGTATTTTGTTTATATTGGAAAAACAATAAAGGGTAGACGTTTGGTGAATATCGTGAATAATGAGTGTATTATAATCCTCTTTCTAGTAATCGCTATAAAAATTTTTTTGTATAAAGTTGATCTCTATTGCCTTTATCGTTTTATAGGAAATCTGACATATTTTGTATTCACCTGTATTTTGTATTTAGTTATTACATTTTTGCTAGTTGTTGCAACACCCGTTTACTAGTAGCTACCACAGTAGATAATTATTATTTTAATATTTATGAATCATTATTCTGCACCTTTATGCATTTAAAAAAATCTTTCAAGCATTTAAATGAATAATTATAAAATTTATCAATTTTAGTTATATTATGTTCTATATATACATTATTTTTGTAAATATTTAAAAATATTTTGTAGTTTCAAATTTTGTTTAAATTATTTTAAAATCTTTTTCTTTCTTTTTGTTGTCGTTGTTGTTGTGATAGGCATCGGAAATACTTTTGGTATTATTAAGTTTTATTTTAGGGTTTTGTCAATATAATAAAAAACTATAAAAAATTTGATGTTTTTTACCAAATAAACTGGTATATTAAATAATTATTCAGAACTCGGTAATATTCCTAATAAAAAATGTATAACAATTTGGAATTACAAAATATAGTTTGCTATTTATATGCAATGCAGTCTCTACGCTTGATTAAATTAGAACAATTAATTTTAATCAAATAATCTAAGTGGTTGAAAACTAAGCAAATGAAAACAACATGAACTGATTATCTGGATTACATGTTCTTTTATGAGTTGAGCTGAAAAATTAAACAGGTATCAGGTAAAAATGTTCAACTATTTTTTTATTTCTAAAAAAAATTGTTTAAAAGTTTTGGAAATTATAAAATAACTTTGAAACTAGTTTTTGAATTTTTTTTATTTGAATATTGCAACTTTTGATGTCGTTCGTGTCGTGATTGTAATTGTTGTTGTTGTTTTTCTTTTTTATGTTTCTTCGGTGGTGTAGTTCAGGCTACTGGAACCGTATAGGATAAAACATCGAGTGCTTACCGTGTGACCTAGCCGTCACTTGGTCATTAAGAAACTTGAAGATCAAAAACTTATTGTTTCAAAGTTTATAAATGATCAAAGTTTGACATTGGTAACTTTAAAAATAAAGGCAAAGGATATTTTTAGAAAAACATTTTTTACGATGCTAATGCTTTATAATAAAATTCAGGAAAGATTTGGATAATCACATAAAAATTAAAAAAAAAGAGGAGAGTAGGGTAATGGCGAACGCGAGGTAACTTCGAACATGGTCAAAACGACATTATATAAAAAGATAATTGATGATTTCTTTTTGCCTGCAGAGATGGGTTCCCAAACTTAGTTCCAGACGTGCAGTAGTGTAGTAAAGTTGTGCTCGTTGTTCCCAATAAATTGATCATAACATTTTCTGATAATTTCATGAAATTTTTTTTCTTGAGAAACCTTCCTGTTGTAGCTACTATGGGTATAAAACCACTCCTTTTGTTGTAGTTGTTGCATAGTACCATAATCAAGAAGTTTTTAACAAGTTATATATATGTCATTACCTAAAATATATAACGTGTTATATATTTATAAATATTGGGTAGATTAATCCTATTTCATTAGTTTATGTCCGCGGGAAAATAACAAACGATCTTAGTGGAGTAATTTCAAACTTCTAAAGTGTCATTAAAAACATACGGACGTCAGTCTGTGTGTTATCAATGACACTTTAGAAGTTAATGTTTCTTACTTTTGTCACATTTAATTTTAAGAGATAAATTGTTAGATTTTTATTTAATAGAATGAAGTTCGCCAATGAGAATCAAAGAAATATTCCATTATTATTACAAGTTCGCCAATGAGAATGAAAGAAATACTCCATTATTATTACAAGTTCGCCAATGAGAATGAAAGAAATATTCCATTATTATTACAAGTTCGCCAATGAGAATGAAAGAAATATTCCATTATTATTACAAGTTCGCCAATGAGAATGAAAGAAATATTCCATTATTATATCAAGTTCGCCAATGAGAAATATTTTATAACAAAATAAAGTAAAAAGGAAGAAGTAAAAAATACTTGTAAAAGTAGAAAGAGAAAGAAGAACTTTTATCTATTAGAGGCTGACTATGTATCATAATGTAGAGAAAAAAGTGAGCTTTTTTGAAAAAACAGAACTTTTTTGTTTGATTTGCGAAGAAAAATATAAGAATCCACCCACAAAAGACTGGAACATGTTACATAAATGCTAGTCCTGGTTGCACAAAAGTGCACAATTGGTGAAAGAAAAATCACAAACAAAATTCCCGAGATTTTGATTGTGATTTTTGTTTGTTAATTTTAAAAGAGTGTTGTTGTATTAAGTTTTATGATCTGCCCATGGAAGGCTGGATTATGTGTTACAATTGTAAGGCCTGGTGGAAGTGAGCATATCCTGGGGTTTTGTCTGTGATTTCTGCTCTTAGCTATTACAATTAACATCTTATTCGTTATTACACAACAGTGTTTGTGATTAACCCTAGGTTTGTTCGGAAAAAAACAACTAACCACAAAAACCTTTTGTTGATGGAAAACTCGTTTATAACAAAGAAATTATTATTGAGAAACTAAATAAATTTTTTCTTAGTGTTGGTCCAAACTTTGCAGCAAAAATTCCGTTTGGTCAAAAAATATTTGTTTTATATCTTACATCGACTGTTATAATTATGGACCAATTTAATTTAAGCGATTGTGAACTAAATGGTGTCTGAAAAAAAAATTGTTAGTATTGATCAAATTAGTGTTACTGTAATTAAACCTGTTCTTTATATTATTGAACCTTCATTATTCCATATTTTAATCTCTCAAATAAATCAGGCCATAATCCAGAAAAATTAAAAATTGCAAAAATAACGCCTATTTTTAAATCTGGTGACGAGACTAATATTTCAAATTACAGACCTATTTCAGTCTTGCCCTGCTTTTCTTAACTAATTGTACGCATTGTGTATAATCGACTTTAAAAACATCTAACTAAAAACAAGATAGTCAATACGGGTTTAAAAAGAACCATTCTACTGACCATGCAATAATAGAATGAGTTAAGCATATATCTTACAGATTCGATAATGATTGCTATACTTTAGGGGTTTTTATTAATTTGTCCAAAGTTTTCAATAAAGTTTACCATTAAATACTATTAGAAGAAACTAGAACACTATGGTGTTAAAAACCAAAGTTTAATTTGCTTCGAGCCATACTTAACTAATAGGAAGCAATTTATACTGAAAGAATCAAAAGATTAAAAAAAAAACTCTATAACTTGTGGGGTACCTCAAGGTTCTATTTTAGGACCATTATTATTTTTAATTTATATAAATAACTTATATTTATCATCAATAAAGTTACATGCTATTTTATTTGTAGATGAATTTATTTTATTCTCACAAAGATATTAATATTCTTTTTAAAATATTTAATGAAGAACTAGATAAGATAAACGAGTGGTTTATTAGTAACGGACTTTCATTAAATGTAGAGAAAATTAAATTTATTTTATTCCATAAATCTAGTAAAGCCAATAATATTCCTGTTAAACTACCTAATCTTTTAATCAATAACATAATAATTAAAAGGGCATCGACAACAAACTTCCAATTTTTCATCTAAAATCAGGAGTGATTTTAGATAAAAAAATTGTCATGGAAATTTTATATTAAAAATATTGAAAGTAAGATATCAAAAAGTATTTCCATGTTATATAAAATAAAACATTTTCATAATAATGCATTATTAAAAAAATTATATTTTTCGTTTATACACAGTTATCATTTCTTACTGTAACATTGCCTGGGGTAGTACAAATCACACAAAAATAAAAAAAATTTATAGTAAACAAAAACATGCTTGCAGGATAATATTTGGGGCAAACAGAAATGCATATTGCGAACATCTCTTGAACTTGGAGCTTTAAATATTAATAAACTTAACATTCATCAAGTGTTGCTGTTTATGTTTAAAGCAAAGCGTGGTTTATCGCCAGTAACATTTCAATCTTACTTTAATGAAGTTTCTCATAAATAAATTTTCAAAAAATAACTTTGTTATTCCCATAACCCATCTTAAAATAAGTTCTTACCAAATTCAATATCGTGGACCTTTTGTTTGGAAAAATTTTCTTCGCATTTTTAATAATAAACTAGAATTCGTCTTAAACTGCACAATGGAAAGTTTTAAGGCTGTTTAAA